TGGGGCTCCATTTCCTCACTTGCAGTGGGGATCACAGTACCGACTGGGTCCCTGTACCATGGATCTCAGTCTTACTCCTGGGCTATAACAGGCACTCAGGAAACAGTTAGTGCTGCTGTTTCATCATGCAGTGAAGGAGGACACCTGTCTGCCCCTTCCTGCTTCATAAGAAGGGTATGGAAACGTAGGCACTTCATTCTTCAGTTACTTTCAAACCCAAGCTTGTATGCATTGCCGGTTGCACGCATCCTGCACCCGAACCTGCTGTGGTGTCCCCTTGCACTCTATCCCCCTCAGCCCCTTGTTCCTGTGCCGTGCACTAGTTTCACTCTTCTCTCTCCTCATTTCTGCTCTTTCCCATTCTGCATTTTCCCTCTGCTGTCCTGGTTGCCAGACTGCCCACAGCTGACATCATAGCACTCCCATATCATGGCAGTCATTCCGTGAGGACAGAACCCTGTGGCTTCTGCTTTTGTTGTGTAGCAGCACAGGTAGGGAGCTGACTGGGCACTGCCTTGGCAGATGATATCCTGGCCGCTGTAGGGCCTGACTGCTGGGTAGCCATGCCTCAGTGTACCACCATTCCCGTCTGTGAAATGGCACCAGTAAGAGAGTCTTGGCCTCAGTGTTGCTGTAAATGCAAGTCCTTTTTCCCTTATCAGAAACATGACCCATGCGCTGAGGACTTCCTGACAGCCTTGGGAGGCCAGAGGTGCATCTCGCAGTGAAACCCATCAATTCATCAATTTGCAGCCAAGTGTGTCAGTAGTTGTGCTGGTTGGGTAAACAGAGATTATAAATGGCTTCAGGTCAGTTCAGGTCAAGCTTTTTGATCAAGTGACTTCAAATCTGGTTAGACTTTGCCACTACTTAATAAATAAATGTTCACTTACAACTTTTGGGATTTCAAAACACACAATGGATTGTGAAATTGTATCATGTGTCATAAAGGAAGACATGTCTGAAACTGTAGCTGATCTAGACAGGTTCTTAGTAAATGTTCATAGTAGTCACTGTGACTTCAGAACCTGTTTCATGTGGAAGTTTTTCCTCTTTTATTTCAGAAAATATCCTTAAGTTTTAAGGGGTTTTTTGGCGAACTTTTCTCATTTGTCAAATTGTCTTTCTGTAACCCGCAGCCCTAGAGAATGAAGTGTACCGCAACCCTAAGCAGTCTCTGATCCATCGATGTATGAATAGCTTGCTGAGCGGCCAGGCAGTGCCTCCCGATGGGGATGGGCACAGCACTGTCCTGAACATCTCCCCAGGACCAGAGCTTATGCCAAGGAGCCCAGGTTACCCGAATGCAGGGAGGGAGGGCAGCTCCCCGGACTCAGACCTCGAGTTTGTTGCCAATACCAAGGTCAAGGTGAGACAGCTAGAGCAAGAGGCTGAACGCTTGGAAAAGGCTTTCAGGAGTTACCATCAAAAAGTCACTCAAAACCCTGCTAGAAGCCCGCTCCTGCCAAAGAGTCAAGAGTCTTTGCACTTTCTGGGCGCTTTCAAAAGCAGCAGTTCCACTTCCCTGGGAAGACATGTTTTCACAGAGGGTGGAATTGCCCCTGAGCAGGCCCAGGTGTGCGCACTTAGTGTGAAGAAGCGTGATGCTGCTGTGGAAGCCACATTGGGCGGCTCGACTTCACGGTCACGCAGGGGCACTTCCTCTAGACGCCTGTCCTCCACGCCACTCCCTAAAGCCAGAAGAAGCCTTGACAATGAGCTCTATCTGGAAGGTGAGCCACTGCCTAGATTGTGATACACCGGCAGTGAGTAGACCATGTCCTTGTACCTCTGATACGAACGTGGGTGCAGCCCGACACGACAGAAAGGGTGCATACAGCTGAAGTCTGGGCTCTTCAGCCCTGCCACTCTGACCCTGCCGTCTCCCAGCCAGCAGTGCAGTTGCTCTGTGTCGCAGGTTTCTTGGGAAGCAGGGGTCTAGAGGATGTCAAGGGCTCGGGTACTGAGGGAGCCCCAGGGGTCTTGCTTTTGCTGCTAGTTAGGCTGCCCATTTTAGCATTGCCTCTGGAGTTTAATTATCTCTGTGAATCTCAGACATCACATTTGGCTATTGGCAAGGATAACAAAATGTATTTTAAAACTAATAGAGCTTAAGCCAGGCGTGGTGGTGCACAGATTTAATCCCAGCATTTGGGAGGCTCAGGCATGGGGATCTTTGTAAGTTCAAGACCTGCCTGGGCTACAAAGTGAGCTCAAGGCCAGCCTGAACTGCATAGCAAGACCCTGTCTCAAAAAGACAAAAAATCCCAAACCAAAGACAAAACTAAAATCAAACTAATAGAGCTTTTTCCAACCCATATTAGTATCTTCTTTATGTAGTTCATATGTCTTTACCCTTGTTCCTTCTCTCGCTTAGGTCTGGACAGGTCACATGTTGTGTCCCCTAGCCCTTGTCCTGACAAAACTCCCCAGCCATCACCTTCTGAATCAAGGCACAGCCTTTGTGACCAGTCATTCTCTGGCTCGCCCATGCCGAAGGCCTGGTGAGTATCACTTTCTGATTGCCTTCTGGTGTGTCTTATCACTGTCTTAGTCTTTACTCTTGGATTTTTTTAGGTATATGAAAGATCATGTGGTAGTATAAAGCTTGTAATCACAGTACAAAATCCTGTGTAATCTTTGTGAATCATCTGCATACATGAGGAATGTAATATGATATTAATAAACTCCTCCCTAGGTTTGCAAATAGACTTCGATTCTGAGATAAATACAAAAAAATCTGTCAAAAGCAAACAAATTAAGCTTATTTTTAAAGATGAAACAATTTCATACATCATTAAAAGTCATTTTAGGGACTGGGGAAGGTCGGCAATCTAAGTGTCTGCCTGACAAGCACCAGGACCCAAGTTCAATCCCAGGTACTGCATGTCATGCTGGCCCCAGAACTCTAGGTGCACTGTGCCAACCCCAAAACCAGGCGTGGTGGTGCATGCCCATAATCCCAGCACTGGGGAGGCTGAGGCAGGAAGATCACTATGAGTCCAAGGGAAGACCTTGTACCAAATAAAGATTTTAAAAAAATTTTTTAAAAGTCATATTAAAAAATGCTTTGACATTTACATATAAATAGATATGGTTCCAATTTGTATGTTATTGAAACAAATTCTGAAATGATAGCAAGCTCTGGGATGTGGCTGTTGAAACAGGAAGGAGT